TTAGTAAGTTTTCCAGCAAAAGAAGAAGTCAAAAGTTTCAGATTTCAAAAGATCAATGGCTCCCTTTCTAAAACAGGTGTGTGCTGTGATACTGTAAATAGTATGAATTAACAACAAAAAATGTATGATCCTAATTTCTGAATCTGCAGATTTTGTCAATGCTTACAATGTCATCCAGGCATGTTTTTTACTCTTCATCAATGTAGAGTTGACAAACATTTTGATAATCATCATGAGCAAAGAAATTACACTACATGCTTCCTAAGGTACCAAAGATAGATTATTAACCTTTAATTTGTGAAATCATCCCTTATGTTCAAAAAATGGGGCAAAAGAAAAGAGGAAATGTCTGTTCTAGTTCCTTTATAAATCTATTAATCCTATTTCATCCCTCAAAGTATTTATTCATTTTTCCATGATAATGTGTGTGTACTTACCAAAAGTAATGTAAGATTCTTTTTTTTTTTTTTACTGTGTTAACTTATTATGTCACCAGTACTACCTTGGTTAATTTTTAGCTATTTTGGCCACCACAGCAAGTAAAATACCTGAAATTAAATTAAATGGACCAGCAAAGCTCCCTGCTTTTTTAACACCCACTTATTTGTAATGGTGGCAGTGGCAAAACTTTAATGTACTGTTCAATAATAACACTACTGATGTTTATTAAGCTATGTTTCAAGCCCATTTCATACAATATCTATGTTTTAACACTTCCCTTTATGCAATATTCATAGCTCTACTCAAATCTGCCAGATACCCAGGATAGTAACCAAAGGTTACAGGGAAATAATTTCACTCTAAAGTAACCCTCTTACTCATGCTTTTCACTCCCTTCCTCTGGAATGACCTGAAGATCTCAGTATTTTTCAAGAATGCTACAACACAACAAACAAAAATGTTTGTTGCACAGCCTGCTCCAAAATGTCCTAATGTCTCATCTCCCTCCCACTCCTGACCCCCCCCCCCCCCCCCACACACACACACACACACACATTTTGAAAAAGCTACTAATGTTATTCGGGGCGGCTTTTTGTAATTATAGATTTTTAAAATGGTTTTAATCATTTCTGTTAGAAATTCTTTTTTTAATTTGGACCTTCCCAAGATTAAGTTATGTTCTTTGAAGTAATATTAAAGATACCTGAAAATAAACAGCAAAAAAATAACTCAAATCACCTTTTAAAATAATTTTTGAAAACACAGGCTTTCTTTAAAAGGTCAGCTAATTAATAAAGCAAGATCCATTTCACATATAGACTGAATGTAAGAAGATATTGTTCCACTTTTTGTCAGGGCATAAAGATGTGTTTCAGGAATTTCATCCCAGCGAATGAATATTCCTCTTACTATGTTTTGAAACATTTCTATAACACCTTGAATAAAACATTTTTATTCCTCTATGAAGACAATTTTAACAAAATAAATGTAAAGGAAAAACAATAAAAGTTTAACATTCATGAGCACTACAAGCTTTTTGTTAAAACACTAAGAAATGCAGCATATTCATTCTTCACTATTTATCTTAAAATACTGATTCCCTGATTCTAGCAGAATATAATTTTAGTAACTCATCAAGACAGAATACATAAAATTGGCATATTTTTTATATGCACACAAATTGAGAAAGCATCTTTCCCATCTGTGCTGCAGAAAATGAAATGCATCTGGTGTGACAATATGGCCCAGCACGTGAACGAGAATCAGTGGGACGAAAGGAGTTTCTTTCTTTTCCAAAGCAGATTATTTTAAATAATGCATGTTATATAACATGCAAGACAGTGTCAAATGTGTTATAGTGCATTGCAAAGGTATGTTTGGCTAAAGAAAACATAATAGCACGAGGGTTGGCAGGGGCATGGGAGGTAGCTTGTTCCGTTTTAATCACTGTTCAGCACTGACTTCCAAATCTCTTGCCCCAGCAACCCAATCTGATTTTTGGCTTGACATCTCTACCCAGTGTCAGAGTATGTGCACATATGCTGTTGGGGCTTCATGCTGGGCTGGGGGATGGAGAGGTGGGGAATGTTTGGAGAACATGGCTGATGCCAGGATCAAGCAGAGAACAAGAGAAAAATTGAGCAATTTGTCTTGTTTTTTGCAACAAATGTTCTTTCTCCCTTAAAAGAGAGTTCTTTTTATCTAGGCCATCTGAAGATGGATTTTATGCTTTCATTGTCTTCTCTTTCATGTGTTCCCATCTGTTCTTGTGAACTGTGAATAAAACTGAAATCTACATGTGCTACACACTCTAGCCCATGCCCAAGTATTTTTGCAGATGATGTGCTCAGAGCGCCAGGGAAGATCTCTGAGATAGGAAGGGAGCTTGGAAGGGTGCTGCAGAGCTAAGCCTACTCCTGGGCACCTTGGTGAGTCCTCATCCTGTTCCAGGTTCCAACCCTATTTCTTCCTCTTCCCCATTCAGAGAGGTGAGTGGGCCCGTTGAGTTGGGCAGAGAAGTATTTAGAGGACTCAGGAATCCTCTCTTCTGCATCAGTGAGCAAGTGCTGCTCAAACCTGGATTTGTGACTCGTGACAGAGAAAACTGTCCAATTCTCAGAGAACAAGGCTCCATTAGCAGATGTTGGAAACCACCAACAGTGCCTCTCCCCAGGACTGTGTCCGGCAAGGCACAAGCCCCTCAGGGCTTACTGTCCTGCCTATACCCACCTTTCACCTATTCTTTGAAAGATATTTTAGCTTTTTTATTTCTTCTGTGTCTTCACTAAAATGCTAGTTCTTTATAATTAAGAGCTTCTTTAGAACTATAGATGGTATGACTGTCATTTGTAACTATGACATAATAGATATGCAACAATGAATGAATCACAGAGAACAAAGAACAAGTTAATATAGCTAATCCATCATAGGACTGATTCTAGGGATGGAAAAAAAAAACTCCAGGACATACATAAACTTGCAGGTATTATTAATCAATAGGACTGAAGTCATCTCAGAAACTAAGTTCTAAAACTTGTCAAAGGTAACTAGTCATGGGAAAAGATTCTGGAGAATGACTTGACTACAAAACCTCTATCATTTATCAATCATGTGACCCTAGAAAAGTTATTTTAATTTCTTCAAGTATTGGTTCCCTAATCCATAAAAATGGAAACAAGAACTTTGATCATGTAGGACTGTTACAGAGATTAAACCATGTATGGCTATAAAGTGGCCAGTATATGGTGAAGGCACACACATAATGTTTAGTGTCTTCTCCATAATAGGTTTAGGTATTTTGAATATGAAATTCATATTTATACAGCAGCATTTTTGAAATAAATATTGATGGTGTCTGAAAACTTTCAGGTAAAAATAAACATAAATACCAATTCAGAATCCCTGCTGTTACTTTGAAAATATCTTGCTTCAGTGAGCTGCAAAGTAATTTAATAAGTTAACATTTGCAGTAATATCTCTACCATCCAATCTAATCCAATTATTATTTGTCTTATTATTCTTGGTTGCAAAATTTCATCAAAACAAATGTAAACAGTACCCCAACTCTAAAATTCTTATAATTAGGCTATGTACACACTAAAAACCCCCACACTTTTTAAATACATAGTATTCATCTTTACTGAATTTAAAACATCCTTTTAAAATGACTGTTTAACTTTACTTTTGGAACCAGAAACAGGACTTCTCAAATTCTTTTTCAAGATGAAGGGGAAAGTAGGTTTATTTGGGCTTTTTGTCAATAATACCCCTACCTACTCTTCTGAGAATAACTAAAAACATTTTCTAGAACATCAGGAGTTTCCTCCAACATCAGCTAACATCAGGTTGCTGCACTCAACTGTGTTTATTAAACAATAAAACACTCATACTCTGCTCTATTTTCTGAAACCATACTAATAAACTACGAAGAGTTTTAACTGAAAGCGCATCTATTCCCATATCTTATCCTTCTAAACACAGCTTTATGTTTTCTGTAGTTAAAGTTTTAATAACATTTACAAAAGGAGAGCCTCCCTCTAGAACAGTGGTTCTCAACCTTGGCTGCACATTAGAATCACCTGGGAATCTTTTTAAAATCCTGATTCCTGGGCCTCCTCCTCTGGAAATTCTGTTTCTTTGTTATGGGGTGGGGCCACAACATTAGTAACAAAGAAAAAGAATTTCCGGAGGATGAGGCCCAGAAACCAGGATTTTAAAAAGATTCTCAAAAAAAAATAAAATAAAATAAAATAAAATAAAAAGATTCTCAGGTGATTCTAATGTGCAGCCAAGGTTGAGAACCACTGCTCTAGAAGACAGAGGGAGTGCAGGCAGCCGCTCCATGGAGCGCCTTGGGGCCCTGCATACGTTTACTGGATTCTTGTCCTAATACACCTGCGTGATCCGAGTCAACATGATGCAGGAAGCAGCACACTCACAAGGCAGCTGCTTCGGATGACTATTCCATCTTAGAAAAGGCCACAGGAACACATTTCACTAAGTCGGCTGAGAAGCGCGCAGGCTGCTCACTTGTTGGGCAGCGACCCACTTGCCGCGGGAAGTTTCAGGAAGGGAGTGTGGGTAAGTCAGCAAACCTCTACTCTAAGGCTTTCCCCACGCCATTACCACGCGTTTGCCTTTAAGTCAACTGTTCGCATTTCTATTCCTTCCTGCAAACCATGTGTGTCCAGTGCTGGCCCCTCCACACCACCATCATCCATGGTTGTCATCCTTTTCACGTTTGGGGGTTTGTTTTTCTTTTGACAAAGTGAGACATGGTGGAGAGTCCTTCTAGAAGACCTCCAAAAAGTACCCTGAATTATGTCTAACTTCATTTCTCCCCTGTTTGGCGACCATTAATGCTTCCACTTTCACTGTCACCTCATAAAGCTATTTCTGCCCAAAGTAAAGTCGGGGTGCAAGACTTATCTTCACTAAGCAGGTGCGGGACATTTTCTTTCCACGATTTGATTTGCCTGGGAGCACCCACACCCCCTCGCATGTCTCGGGGTCTCGGTCCCCCCAAAGCTGGAGGCGTGGCCCGGGCACCCAGCACTCACCTGGCTGCCGCCGCACTCCCCGCCCTTCTCCAGGGTCCAAGGCTCCCTGGAGCTCTGTGCCCGCTCTGCCCCCGCCGGGGGTGGAGGTGGCTCCAGCAGCTGCTCCAGGCTGGCAGTGCCTGGCAGGGAGGAACTCTTCTGATGGCACAAGTGCGCCGCGGCGCCCCGACGCTGTGCACCCTCATCTTGGGCACGGTTCCCCCTCGGGGGTGGCTGAGGCGAGGAGGACAAGGAAGAAGAAGCAGAGGATGAAGAGGGAGCTGAGTCTGGGGAGCGTCCGCCAGGCGGCGTCGCTCCGCCTGCTCCGGTCGCTGCCGCGGGCCCCTTTCCCGCGGGGAGCAAATGCTCGCGGATCCTGCGGCGCAGCGTGGACCCCTGCTCGCCTCTGGCGGGGCCACCGGGCTCCAGAGGCTCTGGGGAGGAGCAGCACAGGTTGGGCTGGGAGGAGGAGAAGACACGGTCCAACACTTGCTTCCGTTTCTTGAAGCCGATCCACCTACCGCCCGTGCCACCCGCTCCGGCCAGTGCTTCCCGCCTGCCCCCAGGGGGTGGCGGGGAGGGCGACGGGGTGGCCGCAGTGCGCTGCTCCTGGCCCCCGGTGCGCCCGCTGCTGCCGCCGCCCTTACTCTTGGCCACCCCCAGCTGCAAGTTCTTCCAGAGCCGGGCCTGGAAGGAGGAGGGCGCAGCGGCAGACTCGGAGGAGCCCGCTGCGGCAGCCTGGGGCTCCATCCTCCACTCCCCGCTCCTCCTCTTCCCTCCTCCTCCGCCTCCTCCTCCTGCTCCACCGCCCTCGCTGGCTGTGCCTCCTCCCGGAGCCCTGCGGCGGTGGCGGCGGCGGCGGCGGCGAGGGGCGCAGCAGCAGAAGCAGGGAGCGCCCCGCGGCTTCAGGCCAGCGCGGGGGACAGACGCCGCTGCCTCGGTTCTCCGGCCGTGGGACTCCCGCGCTGCCTCTCCCCCCGGAACCTGCCCGGGTGGGCTGGCTCTGTCGCTGAGTCTCGGCTGCCAAGCCTGTAAAGTTTCTAGCTCCGACCTCAACGGCTCCAGTCCACCGGAGTCCCCCAGGCCGCGCCCTGCCTCCCTCTCCTTGTAGCTTCCAGGTTCAGAGGCTACGCGCCCCGGGGCGTGCGCCAGGGACGGCACCCGGTGCCCTGTCGATAGCACCTGTCAACTGGATCCCTGCGAGACTCGCACAACCGGGAACGTGGGGCTGAAGATTCCCGGACCAGCAGCCCCGAGGGAGACTCCTGGACCATCCTGCAGCTCCCAGATGGGAGGACCGGCCGGCGAGAGCCGGGTGGAGCCAGACTGCTTCCTAGGCTCCAGCCACAGTTCCCCGCGCAGCCTGCTCAGGGCTGCCGCCGGACGCAGCAGCCAGCCGTCGTCTGCGTCCGATGAAGTGAGCTAGAGCGGAGACTGTGCGCCTTCGGTGGGTCCTGCGGGACGCCGAGCTTCCACAGGCGAGATGAACACTCTTGAGTTCTGGGGCTGAACACCGCTGCCCCCGCCCGGTTGCGCTCCGGTCCAAAAGGAGAGTTAGATTTCTTCTGCCTTGACTTCATCTCCCTCCACCCCTCCCCGCTCTTTATTTATATGTGCAGTGTTTCTCCTACGACCAGGGCCTAGAGATTTCTGGAGTCTGACAATAAGGCCAGCCCCGAAGTTGCAGGAAGTTTAAGGTGGCCGAGGACAGGAAAGATGCGCACTGCCTCTGACCCCCGTTCCAAATGCAGGGAATCTTGTTCTTTTCACTCAATTGCATTTCCCTGTGGTTACTTCACTTGCTTCATTGCCAAGGCAAATAGAAAAGGCTTTTTAGCTCATTCAGACTTTGCTTCTCTCCAAATCTACTGATCCGCGGTCTTCTAATTCTACTGAGAGAGTCTCTTGAAAGGCTGGTGACACAGTGCCCCTTCCCTCTTCCATTGCCCTCCGCACCCCTAAATGTGGAAAGCATGGAAGAGTTACCTGGGCTTCCCTCCCCCCCCACGCCTATTCCAATCTCATCTAGCTAACAGTATGCCCTCGAGATGTTACCAGACTCTCTAACCTTTTCGTTTTTCTATTTTTTCTTGCCTTTATAACAAATACTTAAATATTTATTGAGCACCTGCTATGTACTAGGCTCTTTGATAGATTCTGGGGATGCAGCTGTAACCAAGGGAAAGAGGACCCTACCCTAATAAAGCTCATCTTCCAGTGCATGCGAGTCAGACAATAACAGTGAAAAGTCCCATGGAGACATTAAAACAGGCTACCATAATGGTGTCTATGGAGGAAGGGTTCATAGATAAATTACAGGACACCCAATTAAATTTGAATTTCAAATAAACAATGAATATTTTTTTAGTGTACATATGTCCCAAATATTGCATGAGACATGCTAAAATGCTATCTGTTGTCTATCTGAAATTCAAATTTAACTTAGTGTTTTGTATTTTTATTTGCTAAATCTGGCAAGCCAATAGGAAGGGTTTTGGGGTTTTGCTATGTTATTGTTACTTTTTCTTACCTTATGTATATAAAGTCTCCCTGAGGACTTAGCTCAGTGCCTCAGACTTTTTCACAGGGGCAGGTTGAAAGTATCACAACCACAAAAAATTACCTGAATATAGAGATTCTCTGATAGCCCAAAAGGAAACAGCAAATATCCAGAAGTGTTCTTCTCGTTAACATAGGAAAAGTATCTTGTTAGTTTTTCTAGGACATGTAAACAAAGTATAAAGAAGAAAAGTAAAGAAATATAGAATTACTGTAGAAAAGTGAGAAGAAATGACCACTACTTCTTCCAGAACTCTTTATAAGTATGTCAATTTTGTCATATTTATATGATAAGGGCCCATGGACCCATGGAGATAACTCTACACAATTCAACCTTTAGTCTCATACTGATGCATTTAATTGACTTTTATACCTCAATATTTCCACTTTTCTCTTTACCAAATTTTTTCTTGACTATACTATCTCTGAGATTTCAGGTTCTGAAATCTGTGATCCCAAATCACATTTCTCCATCCATGTGAATTCATTTATACAACTTGAGAGCATATTTAACTCTTTCTAAACATCTGAGATGGATTATAAAATGTGAGGCTGTCCTACAAATTGTGCATTATATAAATTTGTACTAGATACGATCTCTGTCATTAAATGTCTTATTGTATTTAAGAGAAGATACTTATAAAGACTCTACAACACAAGGGGAAGCTGAATAGTACAATCTGATCCCTGTAGGGAATAAAGAGGTGTGAAGGTCACTTCTGCCTTGACTAATAAAAGGTTTCTTGTTGGAGGTATCATCTGAGGTAAGACCTATTGCAGGCGACAGAGTACACTAATAAGATAGATGGCCACCTGCAAAGGCAAGCAAAATTCATGGCACATAGTAAGACTTCAATAAATGTTACCTCTTCTATTTATTACAATTTACTATCCATCTTAAACATTGACAGAACACCTATTGATTGAATTAATATGAAATTAATATGTGCATCACATATTGAAATAGAGGAAGTTGGGAAGGTGATGGATAATGCAATATCTGAGCAGAAACCCAAAGGAAGTGAGGGAGGGAACAAAGTAGTGAATCTGAAGGAAAGTTTTTCCAAGAAGAGGGAACATTAAATGCAAATGGGCTGAAGCAGGAACTTGCTCAGCTTGAGAAATGATAAGGAAAACAAAGTATATGGAACAGAGAAACAGGATGGGAGGAGAAGATATTGCAGAGATGGCTAAGGAAGCGATCATTGTAGGACTCTGTAGGCAACAGTGAGGACTCTGGACTTGGGTGGGATGGAAAGCCACTGGAGGGCTTTGAGCAGGGTTTCTTTATAATCTAACTTGCATTTTAAAGTTTCAGTCTAGCCTCTATGTTGACAATAAAGTGGAGGAGAGGACTGGGTGGGAACATAGTTTAGACAGCAGCTGTTACTACCTGTGAGGGGCAGTGATGGCTTTGAGTGAGTGGGCAGGTGAGAAGTGGTGAAACTGGTTAAATTCTAGATAGGCAATGTTTTGAAGATAGAACTGGCAGGACTAGACATAGTTAGGACATGGGGTACGCAAGCATGATGCTAAATGGTTCGCCTCCTTTAACATATGTAATCCTCACAGCAACCTCATTTTATAGATAAAGGAACTGGCTTTGAGGCATATTAAGTGATCTTGCAAGGTCACTTCTTGTATAATTAACAGATCCCAGGTCCACAGGATTCCAAAAACACACAGCTTCCTAGTTTTAAAATGCATGAATAAATAGAATAAAATAATTGAAAGAAACTTCAAAGACGCACCGATCTATGCCCTTGCCCTGGGCAAGCAACAAGACTGTTGTGAACAGAACCACAAGGTCCACTTGATGAGTTCAAGGACATAAATGCAAGCACGAAAACAACATTTATGGGACTATTTGAGTTAAAGTGCCAACTAAATGGCACTTCAGGCGTCCTCTTCTCAGTGGAGCCTGGCTGCCATCCCAGCGCCCAATGCAGGCCAGATGTCTTCAGGACCTCATTTCCTCTCTCTAAAATAGGGATAATAACATCAACTGGGCTGACCACACCCTACATGGACCCAATTACAAGTCAAATGTATTGTTGATGGTTTCTTTTGCTGTGCAAAAGCTTTTTATTTTTATGTAGTCCCATTTGTTTATTTTCTCTTAGTTTCCATTGCCCTAGGAGCAGTATCAGTGAAGAAATTGCTTCCTCATATGTCTGAGACTTTGCTGCCTGTGGATTCCTCTAGTATTTTTATGGTCATCTTATGTTTAAGTCCTTTATCCATTTTGAGTTTATTTTTGTGTATGGTGTAAGTTGATGGTCTAGTTTCTTTCTTTCTTTCTTTTTTCTTTTGCATGTATCTGTCCAATTTTCCTAACACCATTTATTGAAGAGACTGTCTTGACTCCATTGTATGCTCTTGCCTCCTTTGTCGAATATTAATTGAGCATAGTGGTTTGGGTCGATTTCTGGGTTCTCTATTCTATTCCATGGATCTATATGTCTGTTCTTGTACCAGTACCAGGCTGTTATGAGAACAGTGGCTTTGTAATACAGCTTGATATCTTGTATTGAGATCCCACCTACTTTTTTCTTCTTTCTCAGGATTGCCACAGCTATTCGGGTTTTTGTTTTTGTTTTTGTTTTTATTCCAGATGAATTTTTGGAAAGTTTATTGTAGGTCTGTGAAATATGCCGTTGGTATTTTAATGGGGAGTGCATTGAATCTATAGATTGCTTTGGGTAGTATGGACATTTTGATGATGTTGATTGTACCAATCCATGAAAGCCCACTGCATGGGAGAACATATTTGCCAATGTTATCACCTATAAGGGTTTAATCTCCAACATTTACAGGGAACTCATACAACTTAACAAAAGGAAAATAAACAATCCAATCAAAAAATGGGCAAAGGACCTAAATAGACATTTTTCAAAAGAAGACAGAAGAAAGGCCAAGAGACATATGAAAATATGCTCGAAGTCACTAATCATCTGAGAGATGCAAATCAAAATGACAATGCGGTACCATCTCACACCTGCCAGAGTGGCTATCATCAACAAATCAACAAGCGACAAGTGCTGGTGAGGATGTGGAGAAAAAGGAACCCTCCTTCACTGCTGGTGGGAATGCAGACTGGTACAGCCACTGTGGAGAACAGTATGGAGTTTCCTCAAAAAACTAAAAATGGAACTCCCATTTGACCCAGTGATCCCACTTCTAGGAATATATCTCAAGAAACTAGAAACAACAATCAGAAAGGATATATGCACCCATATGTTCATAGCAGCACAATTTATAATAGCTAAGATTTGGAAACAGCCTAAGTACCCATCAGCAGATGAGTGGATTAAAAACTGGTACATCTACACAATGGAATACTACACTGCGGTAAAAAAGAAGGAATTCTTACCATTTTCAATAGCATGGACGGAACTGGAAAACATTATGCTAAGTAAAATAAGCCAGTCAGAGAAAGATAAATATCACATGATCTCACTCATTTGTGGAATATAATGAACAACATAAACTGATGAACAAAAACAGATCCAGAGACAGAAGCATCTATTATACTGTCAAACCTCAGAGGGAAGGTATGGGAGGGTGGGGGTAAGGGGGAGAGATCAACCAAAGGACTTGTATGCATGCATATAAGCCTAACCAATGGATACAGATAACAGGGAGGTGAGGGCATGAGTGGGTGGTTTGGAGGGGTAATGGGGGGATAAGGACACATATGTAATACCTTAATCAATAAAGAAATTTTTTAAAAAGTCAAATGTAGGCAGCATTTTCATTGAGTTAAGCTTGTCCTCAAGAGAGATGTTTTTATCACTTTGTTATTAAAAAAATAAATAAAACTACCTTCCTTTAAGGCAGTGAGTGGTTCTCAACTTTCCTAATGCCGCGACCCTTTAATACAGTTCCTCATGTTGTAGTGACCCCCAACCATAAAATTATTTTTGTTGCTACTTCATAACTGTAATTTTGCTACTGTTATGAATCGTAATGTAAATATCTGATATGCTATATGTGTTTTCCGATGGTCTTAGGTGACCCCTGTGAAAGGGTCATTCGACCCCCAAAGGGGTCGTGACCCACAGGTTGAGAACCGCTACTTTAAGGTTATTTCCCAACTCTTCTTACATCCAAGGGTTATGGCCATGCTTAGTCATAAAAAGCTTTCTTCTGGGCAGTCCTGTGTCCCGCTAAAAATCTGGGTTTTGCTACTGAGGAATAAGAGGAAGGTGGATATTGGGAACAACAAGGAGACTCTGACACAGACCAGTAGTCATGTGATGACTTCTTCACTCATAAAGAAAAAGCACCACAAAAGGATTTCTTTTTAAGTCTACATGTTTTGGTATTTGG